AAAAATGTAGAAACAAAACCAATTTTTTTTTACATAAAAGCCATTCGTACAGTAACAGCGAGGGACTTCCGCGATCGCGTCCATCGCTACGAACCGGTAACCGGTAATCGATCCGCCGGCGCCCAATTCACGATCATTACGTGCCAAAATTTCAACTTTGTCTGGCGCTTAATTGAGGTGTAAAATACAAAGTTTTTGTGGCACTGGCGCCTAATTGAAGGTGGCGCTTAACTGAAGACAAATACGGTAAAATATAGCAGATGATAGGCTATTCTCACGTGCATTTTTCACGCACATGCAACGTTCCACTTTTATTTCTATTATTAGTAAACCAATGAAATTGAGAGATTGTGACATATATAAGGGGATATACGTTACCTCTGCTGCGCATGTAAATCAACATCACTTGTTGCACGTTTGTATTTTGCATCATAACGCCCGATACCAGAGTCGCCATCACTATCCGCAGTATGGTATTCTGTGTGGAGAAATGAAAAAGACATCAGGTATGACCATCCAGGGGTTTTTTCTAGAAAAGAATTTTAAGAGGGCGCTCACCTTTGTTACCATTGGTAACTCTATATTTATTATAACTGATCATACAATGTAATCTACTGACTGTACCAGGTTCGGTGAGAGGGTGCAAGCCTGGGATATGAGGGCGCTGCGCCCCTGTTCCCCTGTCATCACCAGAAAACAGAACTGAAAGTTCACATGGCTGAGGTTGTCCAAGGATGTGAGAGATCTAGATCTGATTTATTTTTGAGTTAGAGAAAAGTAACACTACTATCCCAGATATGTGCTTTGAGTACCGCTATGAGTTTCTGGTTCTACAGTGAAGGTCAGAAAGCTGTATATTAGTTTATGGGCTTATTTATTACAATTTGTACATCAGCTTTCAAATTTACATTTTCAAATTTAAATATTTACAGCAAATCGCAAAAGTATTGGGACTGCAAGTTAGTAGTAAACATGCTTACTTAACACATTGACAACTTTGGTTTGAAAAAACAAATTTGATCATTGCAAACAACTTTGCATATTTTTCAGTCATGTAAAACTTCATAAAGTGTTTTTTTTAGATATTACTAGCATTTGATGGTGACAGAATTAAGAGAAACATTCCAATTGTAGGTCAACCGCTTTAGTTGAAACCAAAGTTATTGGTAAATTAGTGAGCAAGTTAGCTAACTTGCTGTCCCATACTTTCGAGACTTGAGATTATATTTAAAAAATGTTTCTAACATCCCCAGGTCTATGACGTTCACTGTACCAATTTAAAGCCATTCAAAACATGAATGTTGCTGCCCTCCGGAGGCTTAATGTAGCTAATCTTTCTTTTTTTGTTCAGGGATTATAATACTAGTTTGGACACAAATCTTATTTTTCAGCAATGTGGCAAATTTTAGAATCAATATTTTAATGTGATGGTATGAGATGTTTTTGATTGAAGTAAATTTGAGATAGGTGCTTTTAGTAATATGGACTGTCAACACACATATAAATCTCATGAGCAAACTGGGGCACGTACGATCAAATTACAATACATTGACAAGAAACACAAGTAGATTAATTAATGTAGTTACATGTATCAATAAAAAAACGCCAAAAAAAAAAAGAGTAATGACTTATACTAGAATGATCTAATGAGCATAATGGCAAGTACCGTAAATCTAAAGACTAGATCGATAGACTTCGGGTCAATTTCGGACTACTTCTATTGTTGATCCAACAAAAGAAGTAAGAACTAGTCTTAAACGGCGACAACAATACGCAACAAGTCATAAAAATGTTGGCAGATTGCCAACATTGCCTCCAGTATCGGCAAGCCCAGCATCTTACACAGACAGGTGGTCAACGGAGACAAACATGGTTCAATTGTCCTATATACAAATAGAAGACCGCCAATTTGTCATACAGTACACGCCTTGGAGTCGTTTAGCGTCAACGGAGGTCACTTATCTCACAGCTCAGCAATGTACCACATACATTTATAGAAATCAAAGAATTTTAAAAATACTGTAATCTCAAGATACAGTAGCATTTCAAAAATATCTGCCAAATTCGTATCTGAAATAATCATTATATTTTTAAAATTTCAACTTAGCTTCTATTTTTTTTATTTTGAAAAACAACAAGCTATAATTTAAGAATACCCTATTCATAAGTAATATTGGCACAAATTTTTTCAATTTTAAATTTCAATGGTATTTACATGAAGTCAACTGTGCACATCTCCAAAATAGGTCAAGTGAAATTTTGTTTACATTATTTATATACCCTTTTTATTGGAAATATAATTTGTAAATATGATAAGATATGATTACAGTCACATAAATTATGTAAAATAAAAGATATAGAAATTTTGCCGAATAAACGAACAAGCAGCCAGTTGGCTGAAATAGCTCCGCTGTTAGCAATGCACATTTCAATTAAAGAACAGAAGATATCATTAGAAAATGAACAATATGTATAGTATCAAAGCAATGGGACTTGCTGTTTTCAACAAGAATTCAAAAATATCACTTTTTACCAAAAATGACAAAAATATTCACCAAAATTAGAGAATTGACGATATCATTACAAAATGAACAAATTTGAGAGTGGTCCACATGTAGTACCTATATATGTAATATCAAAGCAATTGGACTTGTGGTTTTTAACAAGAAGTCGAAAATATCACTTTTTACCAAAAATGACAAAAATATTCACCAAAATTAGAGAATTAAAGATATCATTACAAAATGAACAAATCTGAGAGAGGTCCACATGTAGTACCTATATATGTAATATCAAAGCAATTGGACTTGTGGTTTTTAACAAGAATTCAAAAATATCACTTTTCACCAAAAATGACAAAAATAATCATCAAAATTAGATAATTGAAGATATCACCACGAAATTAACAAATCTGAAAGAAGTCCACATGTAGTACCTATACATGTAATATAAAAACAATCGGACTTGCGGTTTTCAGCAAGAAGTCGAAAATATCACTTTTTACCAAAAATGACAAAAATATTAAGCAAAATTAGAGAATTGAAGATATCATCATGAAATGAACAAATCTGTAAGTGGTCTACATGTAGTACATAAATATATAATATCAAAGCAACCGGCAGTTTTTAACAAGAAGTTGAAAATATCACTTTTTACCAAAAATAACAACAAGCAGCCTGTCGGCTGAGATAGCTCCACTGTTAGCAATGCACATGGCAATTAAAGAACAGAAGATATCATTAGAAAATGAACAATATGTATAGTATCAAAGCAATGGGACTTGCTGTTTTCAACAAGAAGTCGAAAATATCACTTTTTACCAAAAATGACAAAATTAATCACCAAAATTAGAGAATTAAAGATATCATTACAAAATGAACAAATCTGAGAGAGGTCCACATGTAGTACTTATATATGTAATATCATAGCAATGGGACTTGCTGTTTTTAACAAGAAGTCGAAAATGTCAATTTTTAACAAAAATGAAAAAAATATTCACTAAAATTAGAGAATTAAAGATATCAACATGAAATGAACAAACCTAAGAGAGGTCTACCCAAGGTACATATACACCAAGTATCAAAGCATTCAGGCAAGTAGTTTTCAAGAAGAAGTCGAAAAAGTAAAACATTGACACGGACGACGAGGACAGACAATCACTCATATGATAAGCTCTGCTCGACAAAATATTCATCAAAATTAGAGAATTTGAGATTTTGACATGAAATGAACAATCAAAGGTACTTGCATATCAAATTTGAAAAAATTCTGACTTGCGGTTTCGAAAAAGAAGTTGAAATTGTAAAGTTGACGACGACGACGGACAATCAGTAATATTAACAGCTCCGCTGTGTCGACTTTGTCGACAGCGGAGCTAAAAAGTTGGTATTGAATATACTAGATATGATAACAGTTAGAAATAACTAAAGAAAACCTGCCAACAACTTCCTGAGGAGATACATGTTGCTATGGGCTATACACTGTTAGAAGGCTGTCCCAGCGTTCTCTATGTTGTGAATTAATGCCAATTTCTGAAAAATTTTCTAAAAATTCAACGTTTACTTATTTGAAAAGGGATTAATATGTGACTAAATATTGTGTTTTATTTTCCAGTTTATTGGGTATTTTTTCTAACGGGTATTTCTTCTTTTTCTGAAATGATAGAGAAAGCAACCATTGTTCTATG